GAAGGCAGTCTCCGGCACCAGCCGGCTCCACATCATCCCCAGCCGTCTGCATGCATGCGCCCGTCGTACGGTCGGGGGGGGGGGGAGCGAGAGCGAGGTCGACAGCACAGAAGGAGACGTCGCCTCACGCCCTTTTCCGACGGAGGGTCTGGACAACAAAGGGCATACAGCGTCGCATCTGTGGTCAGAGCAAGGAGGAGGGGGAGTTGGCCGTGGGCGAGGCTGGCGGACAAGGCCCCCGGGCCCTCACTAGCCCAATCGGACACCAAGGTCAGCGCAGATCGTCCCACCGTCGAGTAGCAGGCGACGCGGAGCTCTTGCCCTTGCTTCGATTGGCCCGAGCACCAGGCCATCCCTGCGGCACTCACGTCCAGCTTGCTCACATCGAATGCCGTCTCCACGCTCGTCAATCCCTCCGGCCCGGACCCCCCCCACCCAGTCTGGCTCGCCTTGTCCGGCCATGCCACCAGCCTGCGTCGCCCTTGCACCCCCAGTAAAAGACCTTGCGCTGAGGCTGCAACTACTGCCGAGGAGAAGGCCAAGCTCTTGTTGGGCCGAAACGACCACTCCCGTTGTCGAGTCCCGTCGAACGCGCTGTACAGGAGCACCTGGGACGGCGACGTGAAGAGGAAGTGCTCCCCCCGGCCCCCAACCCAGTCCAAACCGACCGGCTTGCCCGATATTTCGACTTTACCGACTTCTGTGAAGACTACAGGATTCTTGCTTCTGCTCCGCATTCCTGCAGCCATGGCCATACCCTCCTCACTCAGTGCTGCTTCCTAGGATGATGAGAGCCTGCTGGCTTGAGGCCAATCGTCCAGATGCAGTCCCTGTCCGCCAAAGAAAGTAAGTTTTTCTGTAAATATATACAATCAGGAAGTTTAGAAAGTGGCGACGACGGTCCGCGACCTGAGCACAGGCTATTTTTTCGGGGAGCGGTATGGGTGGCATGGGGGTGGGGAGGTCGTGGCGGGGGGGGCAGTATCTTGGCGCCAGTAACTTGGTCGCCGAGAGAGTTTCTCGTCTACTTATTACGTCCTCAAGCACATACCTTGCAATACAAAAGCTACGCTCATGGTTTGCTTATTTGCTTGTTTTTTCTTGTTCAGAAACACGTCGTTGGCTGACCCCTCTGTCCCTCTCACCTGCCAGGGCAGGACGCTTATGCCTGGAGTGCCGCCCCAGGTGACGGGGCCTCTCCTGGTCCTTGGCGCGGCTCTTTTGCTGACTATCACGATAAAAGAGGCCTTGGACCGGAAAGAGGGCAAACAACGATCCAAAATCCCATTGCATAACCCCAGGGGTCTTCGCTTCGAGCTGCCGGGCACCTCCTCATCGATACCGGCCCCGAGTTTGCCCTCAGAACGCTCCTTCATATCCACTTCTTCGGAAAGGGGGCTGTAACACCGCACAATAGCCGCAAGAGGTAGCCCTCGGAGTATGAGTGTGGACAACATTCATGTTCATCTCGAGCAGGGCGGGATCACGGTCCCATCGGTCGAAGAGACTGTTCCCTTCGCCCCCTGCTACCTCCTGCCCCCCATTACTGCCTTGCTGCTCACACCTCTGCGCGTCGCGGATGGCTCCATTCCCTTGCCCTTCCTTCCCTCTGAAAGCGTGCTTCTCCATCTGTTACTGGGCCGGCGCGTGCCCGCCTCAGGGGAGGTGACACTGCTCCTTTTCCTAGGCGACGAAAAGGACGATCAGGGGGTCGAGCCCCCGCCTTTGTGCCCATGCGCACGCTACAGCATGGTGGTGCACCGGACCTGGGTATATGACGAAAGCGCCTGGAGCACGATAAAGGAGGGCGCACCGTGTAGCGAGAAGGGGGGACAACCCGGCGGGAAGGCGGCGCCGAACCCCCCGTCGGCCTCGTCACGCCTGGCACCAGGGTCCTCGTGCAGGGGCAGACGTGCGACTGGCTCGCACCCGACAGGGAGGTCTGGGAGTCGTTTCTAGGTCCTGGCGTGGGACTCCTTCCCTCGGATCCCCCTGTGCTCACAGAAATGTGCGCGCGGATTAAGAGGGGTCTGGGTCTCGGTCCGAGGGTTGGGGGCGGCCGGGCCCTGGCGAGGGAGCAAGCGCCCGGCCTGGTCCTGCTCGACGGCCCCAGTGGTTCGGGGAAGACTGCCCTGGTTAGAGCGGCAGCGCTAGCACTGGGTCTCGTCACGGTGCTCGTGCGTCCTGGCGGGCTCATGGCCCGTCACGACGTGGAAGCAGACCAGGCGCTGGAGCGAGCCGCCGCCGCGGCCGCCGTCATGGGTCCCGCTCTCCTGTTGCTGGACAACGTAGACTTGCTGGTGCCGGGCGTGGGCTCGCGGGTCGTAGGCGCGAGCAGGGGGGAGGTGGACGGGTCGCTGGCGCGCTGGGTGGCGAGGGTGGGCGAGCGCGAGGGCTGGGAGGGGTCGCCGGGCTGGAGCTCGCCATGTGGAGGCAAGCCGGGGAGGGTCATGGTGGTGATGACGGCCCGCTCCGGCTGGTGCCCTGGCCTCTTCGGGGTGGACTGCCGCCTCTCCCTGTCGGCCGGCTCGGAGTCTCGGGGCTGCCAGGCCTCCCTCTTGGCCCGGTGTTGGGAGCAGGGCGGGGTGAGGGCGGGGCAAGGCGACCTGGAGGCTTTCCATGCGGGGCGCGACCCTGCGCGTCTTGAGCCAGCCTACACCCCCTCGGAGGCGGACTGGGTGGCTGTGGCGCGGCTCTGCCAGGGTTTCTCCCTGGGGTCCATCGCGGCCATGGCGCGGCGAGCGAAGAGGCGCTTGGCCAGCCCGGCCCCCGGCAGCAATAGAGGAGCGGCCGAGGACCCTGGAGAGTCATGGCGGGCCGCTTTCACGCAGGCTGTGGCCGAGAGTCGAGCCCAGCAGCTGGCGCGTGGAACGGGCATGACAACCGTCCTGAGGGTAGAGCCCCCGGTGACATGGACCGAGGTGGGGGGCCAGGCGGCGGCCAAGGAGGCAGTGCGGGAGATGATAGTCTGGCCCATGGCGAGACCCAAGGCTTTCGCGCGCCTCGGCATCGACCCTCCCGCGGGGCTCCTCCTTTATGGCCCCCCTGGGACTGGGAAGACGCTGATCGCGAAGGCGGCCGCCTGTCAGTGCGGGGCCGGCTTTATGTGGCTGCGGATTACGGACGTGGTGAGGGGCGAGGTAGGTACGGGGGAGAAGCTCCTGCGAGAGGCCTTCCGGGTAGCCCAGGAGAATCGACCTGTGGTTATTTTCATTGACGAGTTCCAAGCACTTTTCAGCGCGCGCGGGGGGGGCGGAGGCGGGGGTCGTCTGGCGTCCCAGTTGCTCCTCTCGATGGACGCACTGCGCCGGGAGCACGGGCGGGAAGGGGAGGTCGGCGAGGAGGCTGCCGGCTTTGTCTCGGTGCTGGCGGCGACCAACGCACCTGAGGCCATCGACTCCGCCTTTCTGCGGCCCGGGCGCTTCGACAGGCTCGTCTACGTGGGGTTGCCAGACCAGCAGGATCGGGCAGACATCTTGGACAGGTGGCGGGAGCGCATGCGGTGGGCGGAGGACATGGGGGTTGCCGAGCTGGCAGAGCAGACGGAGGGCTTTTCCGGGGCAGACCTGGCGAATTTGATGCGGCGGGCGGCGCTGCATGCCTTGGCTGCCCATAAATCGCCTCCATGGCCGGACGGAGGCGGCCGCGATGGAAGGGCTAGCCAGGGCGGAAGTAGTGAGGCTGCTGTCCCCCTGCCCCTGATTAGGCGCGAGGACGTGCAAGCGGCCCTTAGGACGTGCCGTGCCACGACGTCGCCGGAGAGCCTGTCCAAATTTGAGGCCTACCGCCGTTTGCACGGTGGATCGGGAGAGTGAGAGGCTTGGAGGGCCGGGCGAGGGCAGGACAGGCATTCCACACAGTTTGCACATAGGACGAGCTACGTGGGAGCATAGGCAGATGCCAATTAGTAGTCATTTACAGTCATGAGAACATTGACAAGGCAGTAATAAGTCACTTATTAGTCAATTGGTGCTTTTACAAGAGATGTCCCTCCCTCCCTTCTTCCTTTCATTTGCGCTTGTCTGTCCAAACTCTCTTTCCCGCTCCTTCGACCTACTGTGCCACACTTCCCGCCTCCAGCCCTCGCAGTCGACCCACACGCTCCCTCTCCATCTCCCTCATTCGGTCCCAGTGCCTTCTCTTGCACGCCCGCTCGCTCCCCTCGCTCGCGCTGAGCAGGCGAGTCAACGTCAGCCATCGGCTCAAATCCTCGGGCCGCAGGTCTTTTCCTGCCTCCCGCCCCCGCAAAGTCACGTATTCCTCTTCCGCATGGCGGGCGAGGTCTTCCCCGATCTCCACCGGGAAGCCAGCCAGAGCCGCCAGGTACCGACGCAGGGACGCGAGGGCCTCGGGCGACATTTCCTCTGCCCGTTCCTCACGCCCTTCCTCGCCACCGCCCATGGGGAGGGAGACAGCAGCAGCAGAGATGGAGTGACTGGTCCCCGCAGCCACAGGAGCGGACGCAGGCGCGAGCGGGACCTCACAGAGGGCTCCCCCGTGGAAGATGGATCGGCTCTTGGAGACGACGAGCATGGGGCAGTCGGCCTCGAAGTCCAGTTTGTAGTAGCCGAAGTTGCAGGAGGTCTTCTGGCTCTCGATCAGGCCCTTCAGGCACTGAACATTGGCCACACCCGCCGCGTCCAACCGCCCCGTCTCCAGCCCCGTCTCGTCCAAGACCAGGGCCGTGCCCGGCGCTGCCTGGAGGGGCGTGGTGGAGAGGAGGTTCGTTCCGTAGTCCTTCTGCGATATCCAGGCCCGAGGGTCCCGGAGGCGGGCCAGGGTCACGGGGAGGGAGCGGGACCGGGCAACCACGCGGGCGAGGAGTCGGCTCAGGCCCTTGGCGAGGCCCGGGGTCTTGACGCGGCTGATGTTCACGGGGAGGTTGCCCACAGTCTCTCCCCCGCCGCGTCGAAGCCGCACCCGGGAGAGGAGGGCGAGGAGAAGGTACTCTGCCGCCAATATGTCCCCTTCTAGATGTCGCGCGAAGTAACGGACGGTCTCCGCGCGCGCGTGGGCGATCTGGTCGGGCCCCTGCGTTAGCCTCAGGGGCCGGGGCCGTGGGACGGAGGCGCCGGCAAAAATCGAGGGCGCAGGCGCGCGGGAGGACGCAGAGGGTAGCGGACTGGGAGCGATCCCTCCTGCCTCTGCTTCATCGTCTAGGAGCATTGGCCCCGCCCGCTCCCAGAGCAATACGTGCAAGCGGGGGTAGCGCCAAGTCGCCCCGTCCGCCCCGCCCGCCACGTCCATGTCTTCCTCCTCGCCCTCCATTCTGCCTCCCGCCATGTTGTCCTTCTCTTCTGCCGAGGTATAGGACAAGATTGCGACCACGTCCAAGGCCTCGTTCAGCTTGGGGGGGTAGGGTCCCTCCTCCCCGTCGTAGAAGTAAGCCAGGCACCGGAAGGATTCGGGCCCTTGCAGCCCGTGGAGACCCTCCAAAGAGTCTGCAGGCAGGGGGCATGGAGGCGGAGCATTGGACAAGGCGGATGCATCGTCTAAGTCCATGCCATTCGCCTTGCTTTCCTCCAAGCGCGCTACCTTGGCCGGTCCATCGCTCAGGGGTGCTGTCAGGGAAGTGTCCATCTCAGTCCCGCTCGCATTGGCGCAAAACGACCGTTTCTTGGCAATCAAAGCGCTCTCATCCTTGATTCCGGTCGACCGTGACCGCCCCACCCAGCCTGCCTCCCCAGGGATGGGCCCTAGGAGCAGGGGCCGGCGCTCGACGGTCCCGTGGGGCTCCCATTTCGCCCCCGCTGCCGCCTCCTCGGTTGTCAGCGCCTCCCGATACATAGTGCAAACCACCCGACCCGAGGCAGGATCCCTTTGCATACCGGAGAAAAATTGCGGATCGAGCATATCGACAACCATGCCACGAAACCGGACCAAGCGATGCTTCCGCAGGGGTCCCATCGGGGCCGAGTCCGCGGCCCAAGTCCTAGGGTCTACTAGCGGCACACCTGATAGCGCGTTGGGTTGCCTCTCGAAATAACGACGGAAGGCGTCTGACACCCTCAGATGAAAAGAGGGTTTGACGGGAGTTGGGACAGTGGAGCTGATCGCCGCTTGTGAAACAAAGCACTCCTGCACAAGGGCCAGGGGGTTTTCCAGGAGGTCCGGGCAGCTTTCCATGTTGGCAAAAGCTGACGAATTGGATGTTGCAGGGCCTGAGTCCATGACTGTAAGCGTGGTGTCAGAAAGATATCTTTTTTTTAATTGTTACGATACGAGCCCGTGAGAGGGACAGAGCCGGGCGTGGCGGGCGGCAAAGAAACAGGGCAGGCGGGAGGAAGGAACAAAGGAGGCGATACTAGCGAGATATCCCGAGGCACCAAGCGCACCTCTCATCGCCCTCTTTTCTTCCTGCACACAGCCCTGCTCGCACTCTCCTCGTCGCGGGTTCCGTGGTGGCATGATGGCTGCGAGCTACCCGGCGGCATATACATACGGGGCAGTGGAGGAGGTGGTGAGTTGAAAGTGTGGGGGGGATCGAAGCTCCTGCAGCCTCCATTTCCACACCGGTGGCGCCTTCAGTCAGACACGTGCACCTCGGGCCCTGTTTCTAAAATCCTGACATATCACACGCACACGATAGCATGATCGTACTGCCTTGCTGAAAGGCACGATCCGCTTGACGGAGGAGACGAACCAGCTGGCGGCGGGGATAGGGGAGGACATGCGCGGTCAGCGGGTTGCCTTGGAGGACGGTTCCACTCGCATACGGGAGATGAAAGGTTTTGCTGGCGAAGCCCGCAGGATTCTTAATCAAATGGCACGACGAGCGGCTTGGCATCGTGCAACTTTGTGGGGTATCATTGTTTTCCTCTCGCTGTGTATCGGCTTGACGCTGTATCGTCTCTTCACGAATCGCGGGCACATAATATGACAAGAAAGAGTGCCAGCCTCGGTCAAACACGGGACTGTGCAGCCATTGAAGGAAACAACCAAATCATCCATTTATAACAAATAATCAATGCCTTGGAAAAGAGCGGTTTGTCTGTTTACTCGATTGGTTCAGTGCTGAAGAAGTCTCCCCTAGCATGGCTAAGGGACTTCTCATGAGAGCTCTCACGCCATACATAGCTTCTCTGCCGGCTCATGCTCGATCTGAACATTGCTTAGCCCCGAACCTTTCGGCGATACGGACGAATTTCCCTTTCTCAGCTGTAAGGCAGCTGCCTCACGTCTTTTTGGACAGGACCCGGGTCGCCCTCGAGGGCTTGGGGGGCCTTGTGTCACCCCTTACCCTAAGCCTGTTTCCGGTGCCCTCTCGCATCCTCCGTACAGAGTACCGTCACGCTCGGCTTGCTGCGCTCGAACACCTCCCTGGTCTCGGGGTATATGAGGCGGAGCAAGACCAGTCCCTGCGGGATCCTGGACACGTCAACCACGTTCTCCTCCCTGCCCGAGTGGCGGCGCATGTCCGTCGTCAGGACCAAGCGATACGCCAGCCCCGCCTGCTCCCTCCCCGCGTCCAGGGCCCGCGGCTCCTCCGTTCCTTCCCTCCTTCGTCTGGCCCCGGGAAGGTGAGACTTGGCGCCAGGCGAGGTCCGGAGCGTCTCGTCCGTGAAGTGCTGGTACTGCGGCAGGCCGCACTCGTCGTACACGACAAAGGTCCACATCCTCTGCTTTCCCGGGAAGATCCGGCCGATGATAAGCAGGTCGCCTACGAGGGGTTAGGAGCGAGTCAGCCTTTGCGTACCTTGGAAAGAAGGAGGGTGCGTGCTTATTCCTTGAAAAGCGGCTCCTTTTCCTATTGCTCAGGCCGAATGTGACGTCGGAAGCCTCGCTCGTCCAGCATTGGGGCCCTAGCACTTCTCATACTACAGAGAATGCCCAGATTTTTCTTCCTACCTTGGCGGGCGTCAAAGGGGCAGGAGTAGTACTTGTGGTTGGGATGGGCCTTGGGCGAGTCCGCGTCGTAGACCCGGGCCTCCGGCGGGTCTGTGAACTCGTTGACCTGGGGGTTGAGAGAGGGAAAGCCAAAGACGACAGTTAGGCGGAATAAGTAAGCGAGCAAAGCAGAGGCAAGCCAAGAGAGGAGATCGGGCGTACGGACGCGCTGAGAGGCCGGGGAGCGAGCGGGCGGAGAAAGCCAGGCACGGATTCCCACCTTGTACGCCCTGTCTGACAAGACCCTCTTCGCCTTCCTCCGACCCCTCGCATACAACAGAC